CACCCCCTGCATGGGCAGGGACACCTCCCACAGCCCAGGCTGCTCCAAGCCCCATCCAACCTGCCCTTCAACACTGCCAGGGATGGGGCAGCCACAGCTTCCCTGGGCAACTTGTTCCAGGGTCTCACCCCCTTCACACTCCAGAATTCCCACCTCAATCTCCCCTCTCCCACTTTTTCCCTCCTCATCCCTCCCCTCCCCGCCCTTGTCCTGTGAGAAACGTTTGTCGCGCCAACCAACAGGCCCACCCAGACCCTTCAGCGAAGCGCAGTTTATTTACGTTCTTGCAGGAATGGGTGACCTAAACAAGCAGGCACACCCACAGTAAGGTGAATAACAGTTTATATTCCCTATTCCTGACACAAATTTCCCTCACGTTTCCCCACTGGCTGGGCACTCCAGGGTTCACAGCCCATCTGACGCTTCAGATTATCCTATAAGTTTCCTGCCCCTGTTCACACATTCCATTCTAGCAGTTTGCTTTTTACCTTTTAAGGTAAAATTTTGACCTTTCTTGCCCCCTGGGCTGTCTTCCCAATTAACAAACCTACTGGTGTCAACCTGCCCTGAGAGCAAGATAGAAATGGCTTTGTTCGGTCTTATCTTGGGCCATAAATCCTGCTCCATGTTTACATCCCCAGGTGGAACCCAATTCACTCCCTCAGTTTCTTGGCCATACGCCAATCCTGGTGTCCTTAAAATATACAGATATCTCACTTATCTCAAACAAACTATATATTTCTAACACTAGGATATAAACCAAACCTGACACTATGTTTCTAACATTAGAATGCAAAAACAACACTACATTTCATTTCTAACAGTCCCAAGCCTCTCCCCAGCTTTCCTGGAGCCCCTTCAGGCACTGGAAGGTGCTCTAAGGTCTCCCTGAAGCCTTCTGTTCTCCAGACTGAACACCCCAGCTCTCCCAGCCGGGCTCTGTAGGGGTGATGACAAAGGGAAGGCTTCAGAAGCACCAGAAGGTGTTAAAGGCCTACGTAACAGCCTCAAAGAGTTACAGGAACAACAAGAACTGAACTATGAGCACTCCATCTTCCATCCCTTCACAACCACCGGCCTCCTGAAGAAGTGATAACCCCGGGAACTTGGGGCCACAAGGCGTGAGGAGAGAACTCAACAGAGACTGAAGAGGACAGGGGAGCTCGAGATCACTGACTCAAGAAACACTCGGTCCCCGGTTAAGCCAAATCCTCACCGAACACATTTGAAAGTACATTTTGCCTTTAAACAGAGGCAGGGAGGGCAATTAACCAAGGAGACTGGTAGGGGTGAGTTACTAATCGGGAAGTGTAAATAAGGGCAGAGCTTGATGCGTGTAAACGGGATAAATGTGCCACGGGTGTTTGTCTGGAGCTGTGCTAGCTTTGTGGGTTTGCCACCGCTCCTTTTGGTGCAGAACTGGAATACAGATGTCACCTCTGCCCTGTGTGCAGGTTGGGTTATTGCACACGGGACAAATGGCCCCTGTTTTGGGACCCCAGCCCTCAGGGTGCTGGGCCTTTTTTTCTACTAAAATAAAGCTCTCCTAGAGTCTTACTGATAAAAACCAGCAAAACTTGGAGCCATGGAATTCTCCCTTCTGTGTTGCATGGTAACGGTGTAGCACACAGGAGAGAGACTATAAATAAAAGATTTGGTTCATTTAATTTTCAGTAGGATCCCAGCTTCTGGAGTCAGGGAAGGCTTCTCCTGACACTGCAGTACAGATGCAAACTCCAGGAACACAGATATCAAGTTCTTCCACTTGGTGCTCAGAGGAGGAACCTTAATTAGGTCTGTGAAAACAGGAATAAGGACTTGAATGGGCTTTGTACAAGTGGTTGTTAAAATTCTAGTTGGCACATCTTCTTTTTTTTTTTTCACTTAAGCCATTGTTTTATGTGATTTACTAGCAATAGAAAAAATTTGTTTGGTCTGTTTTAATTAATGAAGTAATCAAGATTAATTGATGTAAATATTTTAGCACAAAACCTGCGTTGTATCGGTTTCCTTTTTGAGTTTCTAAATGATACTTCCAAAATGGGTTGCAAATGTATCCAGTTTTAGTAAGATTTATTTTCTGCCTTTGGTAACAAAGTGGTTGCAGGATGCCTTGGAAGATTATTCTGACCCTGGAAGAGCAACGAGCTCCACAAAACTACAGACTTCTGGTGAGAAGAACTATCTTTAACATAGAAGGGACTGGGTGAAATCCCTTTGAGGGGGATTTCCATGTGTTTGTGGGATTTCCATTCATATGCATTGTAGTTTTTGTATTGTTAAACATGAAAAAACAAACAAAACAAAAAAAAAACAACCAGAAAGAACAAGTGGAAATTTTGCAGAGTAGATTGTTTTCTATTCTAATTTATTTGTTTTTTAAGTGAGCTGTCAAGAGCCACTATAAACATCCTAAACACTGTGTCCATTTGTAGCAGTATTGTGTGTTTCTAATCTCACATGGCTTCGTGCTCTTTCTCCAATCAGCACTCTAAGAACCTGCTGCTTTTTTATTTGCATTAAGCTGCCTAACCAGTTTTTTTTGCAAGCCTAAGGGATTAAATTTTACTTCCCATTTCCTTACCAGAGATGAAGTCTCGGAGTGCTTTTCTGTTGTTTACTTTGGGAGCAGAGGGTTCTGGCTCTGCTAGTTCTCCTGTGTAGAGCAGCTAAGAGCAGGGTACTCAAGTGTCTGCTCTGATCTTGTAGCAGTGTCTCCGGGTGGAAACCTAGTCATGTTAAAACACAGCCTATTTTTGTTCACTTTTGGACTAACTTTAACTGGAAAACCTTTTTGGATAAAAGGTAAGCTTTCTGGTTTTGTTACGTACTCAGAAAGTTTCTCCAAGTCTGATTTTTTTCTACTCTCTGATCCTGATGATAATGATGCACATCTTTCAAATCACCACTCCTCCCAGGTATTAGGCTATTAACCGACCTGCTAATTGAGAAACTCTGCTTCAAGAAATAAATGTCTAGAAAAAGTTTACAGGTTGAGGCTTTTTATAGTTGAGCTCTTTATGTCTTTTTTTTTTAATGTAAATACATCATCTTCAGTACAGGACACTGGTTGTGACAGCTGCAGTTACTGTCACTCTCCTTGATAGTAAAGACCAGAGAAAAAGACTTTGATCTTCAGTAATGTGAGGGAAATTCCTTCATTTTTCGTTCAGTTCCTCGTTAAGTCACTTCCATTAAAGATTTGGATTTGAATTTCAAATGGAGGTGCAGCACCTGAAATATTTCTTAGAAAGTGATATTTTTATGATGTGCATGAAGGACGGATTCCTGCTTTTGAGTGTTAAAACTGAAATGGTTAGAACTGTGTTTCCACTGCTAGTTCAACATACACTTACTTAGCTTGCAAAACAGAATGGATTTTGTGATTTAGAGAATAGAATTGTTGGAGATTAAGAGCAAAGTCAGAAGTAAATATTGAGTGATGATATTCTTTGCAGACCTCTTTGCTAATAGCAGCTCCCCCATTTTGATTGCAATGGCAGCCTTTTATGTTAAATATATGCTACCTGCACCTAGCTTTTAAAAATCCTGATGTTATCTAATGGGGAGAGATCACTGTTACACTGAAGAGTCCTCCTCCTTGCTTTGAATGGGTAATTCTGTGGCTTCTTTGCAATTATGAATTCCTTCCGCACATGTGTGGGAGGCTGAGGGTGACTTTGTGCTACTATGAGTGAGAAGAAATCTCTGTTTCTTTATGAAAGAACAATTTAAGAAGGAATAAAGCACTTTCATTGTTAAAAGCCATGCTATTGCTGATTCTGTTAGCTGTATAAAAAGGAATGGTTTTGTCTGTTGATCAAAGTCAACAAAAGCAAAATGACAAAGTTACAAAGTTAATCATTCAGGTTAGAATCTGTGACAATTAGTTTTTAAGTAATTTGATAGTTTTTCTTTCTGTCCTCCAGAAAACCTCAGCTTTAATCTGAAGTTACCTTTTTAAAAATCAGTTTGACCATACCTAAATTATTATTTCATCACTATCAAACATGCACTGAATACAGGGGGGTTGAGGTTCTTTTTAAATTTTTGTTCTTGGGATTTTCTGTGATGTTATTTGCTTGAATTGCTTGAGAGATTAATTTATTTTTTTATTTCCTAACAGTAGTTAATTTGGTTTCAGAATGTCTCTATGAAGGAATGACCACAATTTATTATCCCAGTTATAAGTGACTAAGAGCTAAGAGTTAAAGCCAAAATTGGCAACCAGTTTAAGAAAACTTTTGCTTGAATTTGCAGGTTTTGGCAGCTTACAGCAGTGGTGGTGTAGTCATTAACCTTGCAGACAGTCACAATAGGTTGAAAATACAGTTGCATATTGAATATAAATACATGAGGTACCTAGTTAGAACAGCCAGAAATTAGGAATATGTTGGCAATGGATGAAAATGTTGATTTCTGTGACTTTCCCAATATAACCCAAGAACTCTGGCAAAGGCAGAACACAACAAACTGAGCACGTACTGGATAATATATTAGTTATCCTTTCTTGTTCTTTAGAAATCTCAAACTTTATTTTCAGGTGCATCTTCTGAACAGCCATCCGGGCTTTCTGCATTTGAAATAATTATTCCTCAAAGACTGACAGGCAGAGAGAAACATCAGCCATTTTTTCATGAGGTTTGTTATTCTACCTGATTTTTTTTCTTCCTCTGCTGTTGCTGTTTTTCACAACACTATCCTCTATGTCACACACCATGTATGGTCCATGCAGATTATTTTTGTGCAGCCCTGTGCCCCACACTCTCTCTTCAGTTTCTTAGTATTTTCATCTAGTTTAGAACAAATGTGTTCCCACAAAGGTCTGTGATTTCACTCTAACTTCATGCCTTCAAACTTCTAGTCCTGTTAACAGCCTTCTAAGGCAGAAGTGAGAAGGAACGTGAGGAATTTTTTCCATTTCCTCCAAGTTAGATTAGATGTGGACCTCTGACTTGAATTCATGTCCACGCTCTACGTGTTCTTGTGCTCATTGTACCTGGTCTTTGACAACCAAAGGGTTTCAAGCATTTCAGCACCTAAAGAGCTGATGCTCATTTTGTTCAAATGGTGACACAGCCACCCAGGTTAAAGGAATGAGTTGAAAAAGAAAGATCTGAGCCTTCATTCTTCAGTTCTGAGGTAACTTCCCTTTGCACCAGATACCAAGTTCAGTTACTGAAGTACCTGTTAGCAAACCAGCATGAGTCACCCTTGTGCAAACCAATTAAGGAAGGGAGAAGCTGTGAGTGCTTCTGGCTGCCAGTGGTTTACACAAGGAGTGTCACAAAACATGCTGTAGATGTTGGGCAAAGGGAGCACACATGGACTGTGCCCAGCTTGGAGAAGAACCACCTTCCTCCCAGCTGTAGCTACCTCCTCTCTATTAGCATCTGAGGACCATCTCTTCCTGACTCTACAGAACCACAGCATGGTGGCTACTTTTAGTTGTACCAACACCCTTTTTGTTGTTGTTCTTTTAATAGCACAAGTTTTACATTCTCTTTTCTTTTTCTTTTTTCTGTAGACTCTGTATTTTTTTTTTACATTCCCTCCACAAATCCCTAATGGCAGACACAATTTCTTGTGTAGCTTGTGGACTTTTTCATTCTGTCTTCTACAGGAAGATTCATAGCTTAGTAGAAATTAAACTTTCTCAGGAAAGAATGTGGGGTGTGTTGTTGAGTCTTTGAAAGGCCTGAGGGTTAGGGATGTGTGTTTTGGTAAATACTTAAGAAATATATAGTAGCTGGGCCTCTCCTGTCAAAGAAAACATGGAACTGACAAAACCAAGTACAAAATCTCCTAATTAAGTGGTATCTTTTGTTCTGTTTTCAGGAGTATTCAGATGACAACCTTTCTTACTCATTTAAAACCAGAAATGGAACATACCTCCTAAAGCTGAAGAAAAATAAGTATGTGATAGAGTCTTATAATAAATAGTTTCATCCTGGGATTTAGTTGCATACAGTAGGCAGACTATAAAATACAGACAAGTATTTTTATGCTAAAAAAAAAAATCAGAAAAAAGCATTTAAATTGCAGGTTGTAGTAATTGCAAAGTTACTCTTCAATAGTGTCTCTTTTGTGGCACTAGCTTGCAAATAGAAGGGAATAGTATTTTTATTTATATATATGTTTAGCACCACAAGACAGTAGATTTCAGAAAATCCTTACAGAAAACTAGAATTCAGCTCAACATTAGCTCTTTAGTAGTGGGGATGGGAGGGTTGTTAGCCATGTGGTATTTGAAGAAGTTGATCTGTTACTGTTGTTCCTCATTCCTTAGCCTTTAATAATCCAGGCCCTGATATAACATAGTCTGCTCAGATCCTACTCTGTGGACATGTTATTTAAAAGATTTCAAAATACCTTCTTTTCCAAAGAATGCAACTCATTTTTTAGGTACTTTGTTTCATCTCCATGGATTTTTATAATTATTTAGGATGAATATGCTGCTAACAGAATGTAGTACTTATTAGGATTCTTGACTTATTTCTTGCTTTCTAGACAGTTAAAAGAGCAGTAGTTTATTTTTGTTTCCAGAAAGCTTGTTAGTGAAGACTTTATCCTATATACATATGGGAAAAATGGGAAACTGGAGGCAACACAACCCAAAACCAAGGTATTGTACATAATAACATTCCCCTTTTGTTTAAAGGTTTCCTCAAACAAGGGAAGCCAAGCTTTATGAATTGAAGGCCATAATAACAATTTGATAGAACTAAGGATGACAACATGGATGTATAAGCATCTAAGCATGTTTTCAAAGCAAAAGTGAATGCACAACCATTAATTCAGAGTGTCTTCAAATCTCTCTAATAGGGCAACAAAATTCAGCTACATTTTTGGCCATGGAGGGGAAAATGTGAGTGGTGCACATAAATTATCTACAGAAGAAAAATGTATTGGCTGGGAAAGAGGCTTTGAATTTTCCCAGTTGTAGCATTTTTTAACAGTTACCATTGATAGAAAACTAAAGGTTCTACATTCTGTGAGGGAGTGACTGTTTATGGTGATAAAGCATCCCTGTTCTCTGAGGTGTGAAAGGAGATGCCAGGAGATTATGCCAAGACTGAATTTGAGCTACCTGATTGTCACCTTGGCATAGTGTGCAATTAAAGGTACAATGACAGCATCAGAGCTCTTGTAGTTTCAAGATCCTGAATGAAACAAGCCTTACAAATGCCTCTGCATTTAATTTCAACCTTCAACTACAGGTGACCCTGGTGAGACTTAACTGGGTGCTTGTTGGGGAAGATCTCATAGCAGCCTTCCAGTACCTGAATGGGCTATGGGAAAGCTGGGGAGGGACTTTTTACAAGGGCTTGTAGTGAGAGGACAAGGGGTAGTGTTTTTCAACTGGAAGAGGGAAGATTTAGGTTAGAGATCAGGAGGAAATTCTTTAGTGTGAGCGTGGTGAGACCCTGGCCCAGGTTGCCCAAGGAAGCTGTAGCTGCCCCATCCCAAGAAGCATTCAAAGCCAGGCTGCTTAGGGCTTGGAGCAACCTGGTCTGGTGGGACGTGTCCTTGCCCATGCAGGGGTTGGAACTCCATGATCTTTAAGGTCCCTTCCAGCTCTAGCCATTCTATGATTCTATGATCTCAGATCAGCCTTTAAGAGGAGTCTGTTTAAGAACAGGATGAGCAGTGTAGATGAAATGATTTTGTTAAGAGGTGGTGATGGGTTAAACTAAAAACCTGGTTGTTTCCCAGAACCAATGCTGTTGTAGTTACTTACGTCCAGTAGTATTTTACTCCAAGACAGTTTGGATTACTGTTAGACCAGTGAACTCTGAACATTTGTAACAGCCAGTCTTAATGGCATGCAAATAAATAGGCTGGTTAGAAAATAAATTTTCATTTGAAGGCAAAAACCCTATTTTGTCATTAATTATGTCGTTGGGTTGCATTTCAGGCTCACTGTTATTACCATGGCACTGCTGAAGGAATTGCTGGCTCAATGGTTGCTCTCAGCACATGTGATGGGCTCAGGTACTACGTCTTGCTTTTTACTTCAGGATAATTAATTGTGCAGTACCAAAGTAGAACAGTGTAAGAACAGTTGCTATTCATCACACAACTGGAGAGAAAACACAATCCTATCTTGCAATATTTATTTTTTTTAAATTTCACCTTTGGATGAAGCTGAAACTCTTTACAAGTTTTATAGTTTTCCTTAACTACCACTTTTTTCCCCCTTTTCCAAAATTCCTTCACAGAAAACAATAACATGAGAGAGCATAGTCCAAATCTAGGCAGAACACAGGTATGAACTGAGGCCTCTATTAATTGATGTGAATGTCTTGACCAGAGACACCTTCATGGAAGAAATGCTATCCAGTGAAGCTTCTGCTGAGCTTAACACCCTCCTGTTGAACAACTCTGTCTTACAAATGGGCATGTTTCAAAAGACAAACCATTCATGTGAAAACATTATGATTAGATTGGAAACATTTTTGCATTTTGTTCATATACAAGAAAATTACATTCATTTGAGAGACTGGATTCATTTGAGGCCAGATCAATGTATACAAGATGGTGGTGTTCTCCCCATGGAATCTGTCCATGTGAGTTGGCAAAATGAGGTGGCATGTTACAGCAAATTGTGCAGATATCCAGGAGAGAGCATGTCCATGTTTCCCTGCCTTCACTGAGCCTGGCTCTACAGCTGGACTTTGGATATACTTGTTGCTTGTAATAGCCTGGTTCAGTCTGACATCTGTTTGACAAGCAGGACGAGGCAAATGGGATGAAGTTCACCCCCAAATCTTTCATGTATGGTATCCCAGTGAGATGCCACTCACAATAAATAATGACATTTCCGTCTTTCAGGAAATGCTGGGTCTGACTAAGCAGAACAGGTAGTTCATTTTGGCTGTTCCGCAAACTTACATAGACTCAAATCCTTTGGTTACCTTGAACTTACATTTCTGAGCATTTTCTTTCACAAGATGTTAACTAGAGAACTTGTTTTCTAAATATATTTTTGAGATTCTGGAGAAGTAAGATAATAACTTCTGAAAGATTCTAGTACAGCAACCGGGCATGTACCAGGTATTGCTGAGTCCTGGACAAATGCAAAATCTTTATTCTAAGCTGCACTCAGCACTGCAATGTTTGCCCTCACAAACACCCTGGTGATTGCTTTTAGCTTCTCTTTCTGTCTTAGAAGTCGTATTTTTCTAAAATGCTAGTTTACCTTATGGGGCTAGGAGTGATACTGGAGATAAGGACTAAAAGAGATTCTTTGCCTCAGCTCTGTACTCACAATCCAGACTCATTTAGAAACATTTTGGCTTTCCCACTAAATGATTAAAGGAGCTCATGCTTGTTTATTATCAAGAATTTAAAATAAGTTCTGTTTTGTCTTTGGAGATCCTGCATTTTAACTTTCCCCCTATACTAAGATAAATTAAGATAGTAATTTATTTCAACACAGTGGTATGAACAGTTCTAGTTTTTAAGTACTCAGTTGTCATTCACTCACCTACTCATAATCATGAGGGAAAAACTGTGGAATAATTTATCATTCTTTTATTATTATTAGAGGAATTCTCTACATTGGTGGCAAATGGTATGGAATGGAGCCACTCAACACATCCAGCACGTTTGAGCATGTGTTCTACCTGCTAGAAGACATGCAGGATGTCCCCTTCCAGTGTGGGGTGCTGAATGGCAGCCTTCACCACGAGATGTTTGTGGAGCAGTCTGTGAAATATGCTTTTTCATCAAACAGTACCTCTAGCAGGGAAAAGCTTTTAAGGGTAAATAACTTTCTCTTTCTCTCTTGAGAGCTGCACTCCAAACCAGCTCCTCAGTCTCTTCCAGCAGCCAAGGGTCTCCAGAGCTCTTGCTTTGGCATGGTGTCGTCACAGGTGGGTTTGGCCTGGCAGGCCACTTCATTGTTGCCTCCATTTTCACTCCCCAAATTGGTGGGAGTACTGCTAAGGAAATCCTGAAGCAGAACAGCACAACAGGAATTTAACATAGCTTGGAGCAATCCTTTGGCAGAAGAGCTCTGCCCAAGGTGGTCATGGGTGTGAAGCTGCCATTCAGCTCATGCATCCCTGACCTGATGTGAATTGCTGACACACAGATATGTGGAATTCTAAGGCAAATTGGCTTTTGAAGCCACACCTAAAAAAAATATAAATCACTGCTTTATAAACTCATGAAATCAAAATAATTAAAAGATTAGTAAAAACAACTAAGTAAGTAAAAAAAAGTCATAAATAATTTTCTTAACTTACTGTGCTTTCTAATTTGCAGAAGAAGAGAGCTGTCCTGCCACAGAAAAGCTATGTGGAATTATTTGTGGTTGTGGATAACAACAGGGTAATGATTTCATCCAATTCTACAAACGTATTTTATAACAACGATTATTTTTTTCTCTGATCTTCTCCTATGATATTTTACAGTTTGTGCTGAAGAAATCTGATCCTGCTGCAGTGCAAAAGGAAACAGTTGAGCTGATTAATTATGTTGATGGGGTAGGTCTGATAAGTTGCTGAGATTCTGTAGTTTCCTCTCTGTCACAGTTTTCAGAAGAGCAGCTAATGCAGTAAATCTGAGCAAGGATGTTCTGAAACTGTATTTGGAAGTTGCACAGCAATTTGTAACATCTTTAAGGTACCTCATGGATCTATGCATGAGGCTTAGAGAGGTACAGACAGAGGGAGAGATGCTAAGTGTTTTTAAACCCTGTGCTCCCAGACTTCAGCTGCTCCAGGAAATCGAGGTCTCCAGTAGGTTTTCCATATCCAGGAAAAAGTATTTCTCATGTATGTAGGTCTTTTCCTGTAAACAATCCCACAGGCTCTCTGGTCATCTGCTCCCAATGTCGCCTCAAGACAATTAGTTAAGGAAATGAATGAACATGGTCTTTCCAAGTTCTCCAACTGAAAGATGTATTTAGGACCTCCATGAAGTTGATTGCCTTCAGTCAGATATTCTTCCCTCACATCAAACTCTTAATTATTCCAAGAAACTGAAGTTATGTCTTAGTCATTATGTTCAGCTTAGTATTTACTCAGTAGTTGTGATGCAGTAGTTCATAACTCAACTGAAACAGACTGAGGGACCATAATCATCCTTATTTTTTCAGATGTACAGAGCATTAAACATCCAGATTGTGTTGGTTGGATTAGAGATCTGGACAGACAGAAACCGCATACCTGTAATGAGTGGCTCAGCTGGAGATGTGCTGGGAAGATTTGTGACTTGGAGACAGAAAGATCTTCTTAAAAGATCACGAAATGATGCCAGCCATCTCATCATGTAAGTGTTCATTCCATGGAAATGCCACCAGTGTGGGGAATGTGTAAGATGATGGGGTTGTGTATGACTGAAAATATAACCAGAGTAAAATTCACTCCACTTCCAAACTGTTCTAACCTGGAAAAATGTCAAGGTGTAATGAATTATTTCTAGATAATCAACTCCAGGTGGCTTTGCTTGAGCAGGGAGTTGGACCAGTGACTTCCAGAGGTCCCTTCCAACCTCAGCCATAGTATGAACTCAAAAGCAGATTTAAGTGATTGGTCATAATTTCCAAGCTCTGATATTCAGATGCTTATTCTTTATTACAGTGAAACCCTGATATGATAATAAATTACTTCTTGACTTCAAGAAGACCAAGCCTTGACTTGCAGTATTTGTTTCATGCTCACTGGTGTCTTTTAATAGAAATTATGAACTTTAGCCCCTCTTTCAAGACCTTCAAACTGCTTTTGTTGCAGAGGGAGAAGTTCTTACAGTGGATCCATTGGAATGGCTTTTGTGGGCACTGTTTGCTCCCAACTCCAGGGGGGGTCAATTAGCACTGTAAGTACATTATGCTGCAGTTAATGGAAGAAACTAGCACAGGAGCTGCCAAACTATCATAGATGTGCTGGTAGTGAGACCAAGAGGTACCTCAACACAGAAGGCCTTTCCCCTGTGTTGTAGATGCTGCTATTGCTTCAGGAAACTTTGCTTCCAGGGAGGTACCTTCCAGAACATCCCAATAAATACTGTACACTTTGCTGACCTATTTGCTCAAGTCACTCAGGTCTTGGAGTCCTATGATTTCTTTCATGGGGTTTCTGATGTAAAGACCTGTACATATTTTAATATTTTTTATTTTTTTTTCCCCAGAAAAAGTTTGTTTCCAATTTCTCTCTTTACCACATTCCAGTCCATTTTGCTGATTTAGTCCTGTAAGAATCTTCTAATCACCTTTTTGTAATTAATCTAGCTCAAGGTTGTATAAGAAAAGCCTATTTTTGTATAGTTAAGGTTCATAACCACTATGTTTTTGGGATGTGAATGCAGCTACAAAATAATGTGTATTTTTTGACTCTTTACCTGGATAGACAGTGGACATAGTGCACTCTCTTCCCAAGCAACTGGAATTCTCCACAATGAGGCTCTAATTTTAGGCAAGAAATTTACATTTGGCAAAATTAGATAGAAACTAGTTTTTTCTCCTTCCCCTTTGGGACAGCACTTATTAATGTCTTTTTGTATTTTTTTAACACTGATTCTCTTTACTAGTTGAATCATAACAAGGTGTTACATCATGCTACAGTAGTTGCACATGAACTGGGGCATAATCTTGGAATGAAACATGATGATAAACGGTGTCCTGGATCCTTTATTATGCACAGCACAGATAAGTAAGATTTACAGGTGTTTATTTTTTTTTTAATTTTAATACCTACTATGTATCTGCAGTGACTTACAAGCTGTAAAACTCCAACAAATCTTGAAGAACTTTCGTGAACAGGCGGTAGTTTGAAAAAGGTGAATTCACAGACTTAGGTCTTGGCATCATCTTCATTCGTTTGAAATGTTATCTGTTTTCTGATCCAGTCATTCTTTCTTTGTATCATTCCTCAAAAGCTATTTGGATTTTTTTAGTTTTAATTCTTTTTAAGGATAGTGTGTTGCTGGGGTTTTCTTACCCTCCTGAGAATGCTTTACATGTAGTCACTGGGTTTGTGCAAACGTGCATCCTTCACACGGATTCTCTTCACAGTTAAAACTTCTTGGCTTGTTTCTTCCAGTCCATTTGTTTGGCTTCCCCTTTAAGATAAAAAAATCATATTATTTTATCCATCCGTATTTATATTAAAAAATCAGAGTGATTGAACACTGGACAAAACTACTGTAAGAAGATGCATTTCTGAGTTCTTAGGGACTCCAAGTTCAGGTGAATGTCTTTCTGGAAAGGATTTTTTAATCAAGCATTTTCAGATCCACTACATACAAGCAATTTCTAAGGGCTGTTTTATACAGGACACCAGAATGGATAATCTGATGATGCCTTTTCCTTCTGAAAGTACTTTTAATTATGTTATATATAGTATTTTTAACTTCTAGTACTGTAATGCAAAATAAAGTAAAAAAATACCTACGTCCTGATCTCCTAGCACTATAAAAATATGGTATTTATTACAGATTGACAATATTTTAAGGGATTGGGTTGTATTTTTTTCTGCAATCAGATTTTTAATTAAAAAATATCATGCTTTCCAGTGGATCCAGGAATTTCAGCACCTGCAGTGCTGATGACTTTGAGAACCTTATTCTAAATGGAGGAGGAAACTGCCTTAGAAATCCTCCCAAAGCAAGTAATGTTTACAAAGAACCTGTCTGTGGTAATAATGTGGTTGATAAGAATGAAGAATGTGACTGTGGCAAACCACAGGTAATGAATGAAATTCAGCTGGTTACTTGTTGTATATTATATTACGTTATGTTATATTATAAACCTGATTAGCATTAATATCTGAGTTTTCCTTGTAGATTTACATTGTTGCAGGCAACATGAAGATTTATTTTTTTAAAAGCCTAAATTCATACTTTGACTGTGATCTAAATTCAGTTAAGGGCTTCAGGACTTCACAGAACTTCGAGCTAATACTTCAGAAAGAAGTGAAGTTCAGTGCAGAGCATGTGGAAATGCCATTGGTTTTTGTCCTGCTTTTAGCAACATGGATATTTCTGTTACATAAAAGAGATGACTTGTCTACAGAACACTTAGAGATTTGCTAACTGCAACCCTTAAGCTTAGATGAAACCAAAATTACTTTTGTTGGTCATATTTTATTGTCAAAATGTCCCTCAAAGAATGGGATATATTGAGTTGTTCTTTAGAAAATTAAGTGTCTCAAAAAAAACCACCAATATATCAAAAGGCTGTCAGCAAACCCTGGTTCCATTGTATAGGCCTTCTTCTAAGTAATGAAAAAACACCAAAATTTCTCTACATCAAGCTGCTCATGTAGTTGAAAAATAAGATGGGAGAAAGGGTGATAAGAAGTGTTAATTTTTTTTAATGGCCTGTTTATTTAAGTGTCCACTTAAAGTGTAAACCTGTGCCAGGACACATCAAAACAGATGTTTTTCTGATGTCTTGTATTAAAAAAAAAATACAGCCAAACTGTAAGCTGGTTTCTGTTAGAAGGCTACCAACCTCAGACCATGGGAGAGTGATGGTGTATGTAAAGTTTGGTTTGTTGGTGCACTTTCCTGGCTATATAGTGAGGTAAAAACATTGTGTCCCCTTACCCCTGGTTGCCTTTCAGGAATGTACTAACCCTTGTTGTGATGCTGCAACCTGCAAACTCACGTCTGGATCCCAATGTGCTCAAGGAATGTGCTGCCAAAACTGCAAGGTAGGCAATGCTTTATTAAGCTAAATCAATGCTCTTTACTAGTATTTTTAAATGTTTGAAAAGAGCCATCATGGTATTCTTGATGTATTTTCACATTATCAAACTACATTTGTGTCTAACAACTCCTGGCCAGTAGCTTAGAAATGGGAGGTCATCTCCATGTCATCCCTTGTGGGAGGCAGGAGCAATCAGGGGCTCAGGGATCTCCATTAAGCAACACCAAGCTTCTCCAAAGTCCAGGACAGCTGGATGCTTTTTAATTGGTACTTGTCTATGCATTTCTTGGATATTTGTTAAGATATTGATCTGAGAAACTGTTTTGCCTCCCTTGAAATCACAGAAGGTTCCCAGTTCTCATTGTTTCAAGTTGGACCTTCCGCAAATAAAACTAGGGTGGCATTCCTCTCTGCTTCTAGTTCAAAGTGGCAGGAGCAGAGTGCAGATCCCAAATGGATGTCTGTGACCTCCCTGAATACTGCAATGGAAGCAATGCCTACTGTCCAGAGGATGTTTACATCATGAATGGTTTCCCTTGTGACAACATGAAGGCCTATTGCTACTATGGAGTATGCCAGAGTTTTGATTCACAATGTGAAGCTATATATGGAAAAGGTATGTTTAGAATTTAATATAAAAAGCCCTGTAGTCCCCTAACAGACATTTCTTATGTTCCTTTTCCTGATATTTTTTAGGACAGGGTAGTGCCTTAGTGATATTCACTCTTTTTCATACAGGGGCAAGAAAAGCACCTGATCTATGCTTTGAAAAAGCCAATATTAAAGGAGATAGGTTTGGAAATTGTGGAATGAGAGGTGGAGTGTACAAGAAATGTCCTGTCCAGTAAGTCACCAGCAAGTAAAAGCTAAATCTTCAATGCACAAACTAGATTCTGTTACAAACTCTTAAATGATGAGATGCAAAAGACTTTTTCCTTGGGATGCAAGCTAAAAAGTTGGACTGGAGGGTGTATTTGCAGTGATACTGAGGATTTTCTGTTCACCTTGCATCTGAGTGTCCTTTGTTCCATACAGGCATAGTCTGTGTGGCAAGCTGCAGTGCACATCTGTTAGTCTCCAAAATCTTCCTGCTTGGAGTGTTGTCAATAATGCATCGGGGGTTTTATGCTGGTCTTCTGACTTTGACTTAGGATCAGATGTCCCTGATCCTGCTCAAGTTCATGATGGAACAGCCTGTGGAGAAAGGAAGGTAAGATGAATCACAGCAGCATTACAGAATACATTCAACCAACTGGGAAGTTCATAGCTGTCAAAAGCATTACACAGCTCTCTCATTTGTGTGCCACACTAGAAAAAACAACATGCCTTGTGAGATACACACACACAAAAATTGATTGGCTCTTCAGAAACTGGGACACTACAAATCAGTGAACTGTTTTATCAGTTACTCAAACTCCTCCATCAAAATGAATCCACAGAGGTATAAAAATCTGAGACAAATAATAGCTTTGAACCGTGAAGTACTCAATGTTCCATCAGCTCTTTTTCTTGACATTTAAGCAAAAGCTGTAGGCTTGTAAACATATACATCTATATAGTATATTTCTAAAAGAATGGGATTTTTTTTAAAGTTTTGTGCTTGACAGACACTAAATCCTTTTTCCAGGCCTGTGTGGGTTTTGAATGTGTTGATGCAAGTTATCTGGGCTATAGCTGTGATATAAAGCAGAAGTGTAATGACAATGGGGTAAGTAGATGGTGTTTTCATGCCCTGTTCCTAGAAGACAGAGATAGGGGGTAAATCCCTGCATAAAAGCAAAAACCAGCCAGGTGGCTTTCTTTTTTTTTCTGATCTAGATTAGAAGTCCACTTTTTAAACTGTAATTCATGCAGCCTCTTAGTACTGCATTCATAAACCTCTTAGTACTAACACTGAAAGATGTTTCTTCTAAACTTTCCTAGGGAATTTCAAATATTACTGAGCTGTTAAGTTGTAAAAAGAAAATATTCCTCTAAGGAGGACAGTCTGGTGACTCCTGATTTATATATTTCTTTGTGAAAAATTAAAATGGAGTCCTGAGGTGGTAAAACTGAGAGGTTCTGTGACACTGAGGAGGATTGTAATCGGTTGTAGGCAAAGAAGTAAACAATAGAGAGGATTAACTTCTGGTATCAGTGTCACTCAATGTTTTGGGATGTTATGGAGGGGAGAGCTTGTCCCCTAGGAATACCATGCCATAATTCCTGTTTCCATGGGCAATTCTTAGTGTGTAACTAAATACATATTGGAGGTTGAAAGTGGCCTCTTCTGGAAAGGTGTTGTTGGTTGACTAATCCCTGTTGTGTCGACTGTAGGTGTGTAACAACCTTGGGAACTGCCACTGCAATTCCGGGTGGGCGCCCCCCTTCTGTAACCAGTCTGGCTACGGTGGCAGCCTTGACAGTGGCCCAGCCCACACAGGTAGGGTATGAAACTGACCTTCCCTCTGCCCCCAGTGTCCGAGGAAATAATCTACTAAGAACAGAGGGGTTTTCCAGTCTCTTTTCAACTGTTTTTTTTTTTTTCCTACTGCACTTAGTCACGGGCTGACCTGAGGAACAAACATTATTATCTGATGTGTGCGTTTGCAGGCACCAAGGAAGTTGGTCCAAAGGAAAATGTGGCCTCTGTTTTGTCAGAGATAAAGAGCAACCCATCAGCTGCTTAGGATGACTGCTGCATTTTTTAAATAGTGAGATATTTAGGTATTTACTTAGGTATTTAAAACAGGGTTCTGATGAGATGGATGTCATAGAGGAAGACTAGAGGTCGAGAATGAAACCAGCAGCCTTCATATATGGAAAGGGTCTGTCAGGAATGAGAGGGGTCAAGGAAATGCAGCATTTGGCTCATTTAACAGTCATGGAATTCTGCAAAGGGGAAATGGAGTAGATTTTGCTGGTCTTCACACTGAGAGACCATGCAAACATTCTGCATTTGCTAATAGCTTAGGAAGGCCAAGGTCCAGTAGTGGGAGGTGTCCCTGCTCATGGCAGGGAGATTGGAACCTGCTAATCTTTAGGGTCCCTTCCAACCTTCACCATTCTGTGATTCTAAGAGAAAGAAGACATGCAGATCAGCTGTGGGTAAGCCAACAGAAAATTATTTTTTCTGCTTTAGAATTATTGAAATAATACACAGAAAGGGAAATAGTTTGTACATCACACAGCATGGGCTGGGTAAGGCAGAAAGAACTTGCGATAAGGCCAATTCCTACTTTTCTGATCAGAGCACTTTATAAATTCCAGTGGAGTGACTAGTTTTAATCTATAAAAAAAATTGAATCCTGTCGTTTTTACAA